GAGAAACTAAGTCATTATTATGAGAAACTAAGTCATTATTATGAGAAAGTTTCTCATTATTACGAGAAACTAAGTCATTATTACGAGAAAGTTTCTCATTATTATGAGAAACGAAGTCATTATTATGAGAAAGTTTCTCATTATGAGAAAATAAGTCATTATTATGAGAAAATAAGTCATTATTATGAGAAAGTTTCTCATTATTATGAGAAAATAAGTCATTATTACGAGAAAATAAGTCATTATTATGAGAAAGTTTCTCATTATTACGAGAAAGTTTCTCATTATTACGAGAAAGTTTCTCATTATTACGAGAACGTTTCTCAGTATTACGAGAAAATAAGTCATTATTATGAGAAACTAAGTCATTATTATGAGAAAGTTTCTCATTATTATGAGAAAATAAGTATTAAGTAATTATTAATTAACATTAATTAACATTATTAATAAATAAACATTATTACGAGAAAGTTTCTCATTATTACGAGAAAGTTTCTCATTATTACGAGAAACTAAGTCATTATTACGAGAAAGTTTCTCATTATTATGAGAAAGTTTCTCAATATAACGAGATACTAAGTCATAATTTTGAGAAAGTTTCTCATTATTATGACTTACAGAATTATATTTTTTTATTCAGTGGTGGAAACGGGCTTCCATAGAAATATCATGTCTTTGCAGTGAGAAAGAAGTGTTAAATATTTGATGAACTACATTTAACATTTTTCAAGTCAGGGTTGTAAAATGTTCAAAATTTAAGTAACATTAGCTATGTTTCCATCCACCTATTTTTATGCACATTTTGGAATATTGCATAAAAAAAAACGCTGGATGGAAACGCCAAGATGCACATAAATTCTAAAAATGTGCATAAAAAACTTGTGCGCACATTTGAGTAGGATATACTCAACATGGGCTCCACGTCACAGTAAGTTTGCCACGTACGATTGTCTAGAATCAATTTGATTGAAGTGGTCGTAAGTACCTAGGTACTATTATCGATAATAAATTAAATTTTGTAGAGAATACTGATAGACAGTGTAAGATGAGCCAACAAAGACTTTATCGTCTGCGGAAATTAGCTAAATTTAATATTGATAGGACACTGATGACCGCTCTTTGTAAGGCTTACATTGAATCGATTTTAACGTCGTCATCGATTTGTTGGTTTCAAAAATCATAAGTGTCGATTATTCCCTTGAAATTGTAATTGCGATTATTAATTACGATTATCACAATTTACATTGAATGACGTTTATACGATTGTTTGACGCAACTGCGTGCCGTATTTTTATTTGAAAATAAACAAGCTAAAAACACTAACTAAAAAACCTTTAGTGCTTTTCTACAGTATTACGCCTCAAATGTCAACTAATACATCGGATTGGTTGCTTCTTTAAATTATAAAAAAAGGAAAAATATGAACGGTTTTATGTTATACAAAAAACAAAAATTAAAAATAATGGGAAAAACCCTTAAGATAAC